AAAATCTCGGAAAAATCGAAAAGTTTTTTTTGTTGTTTATTATTAGCATTGTTCTTCCGACGTCTGATTTCTTTTTAAAAAATGCGTTTCTAAAGTGCATAAACTTTTGGGATTGACTGTATAGCCAATACATCCTTAAACAGTGTATTGAATAGTGAAAGCAATCAGATTTACGAACAAGCTTATCGTAAAGTAATTAAATGAACTCTTCGTTAAATGGCATCAACTGAATGGTCGAACCAGCGAGATGTCCGAACACTTATTATAAAATAAAGAAGTCTATTTAATGAAAACAGCATCCCATTCATGACACCTTGCCATAAGATCGATATATGTATACAGAAAGGAATTGGGATTAAATAAAAGGCAGTCAGTTTTAAGAAATTTTCATTTATTACTTAAACTGAGTAGTCACGCATTAAATATTATGACGGCAAGAAACACATGTATACGAATACACAATACAGAAATGTCGAAAATATTTATAATACTCTTTGATTAAAATCGCGTTTCTGATTCGTATTATTCATTCACGCAACGTTCACACAACAGGCGTGCATAGTGCCTTTAACATCTGATTATGCCGTTCCTCTTAACACTTGTAACAAGCAATAATATCGTAATAAGTACATTTGTGATAGATCGAGAGCGATGATTCGCGTGATGATTAAAAATAAAAATAGAGAATCGCCGGAATGTACCTTAATGTAAGATAACAATATCGTCTCTCTTGAGTCGTAATTTTGCAACGTCGCACGTCATTCCGTTCTTTTGTTTCCACAACAAATTCGGAAAGCGGTACGAGATCGGATTTGCAGTCTAGCGGTCGTGGAATTAATATTTAGTCGACTTCAGTATCAGCACGGCGTTACGGTAATGACTGTCACCATTATCGTTTTCAATCTCTGCTGAATATGTATAATGCCGTTATATACCACGGTATTGGAAGAACGACGCTCGTTTCATAGAAATGTACATTTTCATATCTCGTTCGCTGTCACTGGACTAGAAAAATTACTCTTCCTTCTTCCTCACAGTTGTCCCATTCGCATTTACAGATTCTTCTTCAATTTCTCTGTTCCTTGCCTGTTGTCTTAATTGGGCCCTCTTTAAGCTGGTCATTAATTGGCTGGATTGGTAAAGCCAACTAGCCTGAAGGTAACGAAGAGGAATGATATTGGATCGACTGCACGTATGCTTTATATAAGTCTCTACCTACTTACAATCATAATCATACAATTCATCAAAATAGGCACTGAGAATACCACAGAAATGAAAAGACCGTTCGAGTCGAAATACTGCTGCCTTGAGAACAACCTATAGAAAAGCAATTGATTAATGATATACATCAATTTTTTGTAATTCTGGAATACTTACATCCAATTAGATGCAGCAACCTCGTTGATGCTTTCAGAAAAATATACCAGAAGCACTGAAACATGAGAATAATTAATTTCAGCGTGACAAACAGCCATTGATTAAATTCACACTTACATAGAGCGAGGAATAACATAATTTGAAAATTGGCATGATTTCTTGTCATTAACGCAGTCATCGTGATAGCAATATGGAAAGTCAATAATAATGCAAGCCATGGATCCCTCCATTCGATCTGAAACAAATTCAATGCCAATTATTTTTCCGTTACGTAATATGTACTGTACGCGGCCAGCGAGTGAAATGTCAACAAAAAGGGGAACACGTGCAATTTAATGCCGCGTATAAATGAATTCATACGCCATACTATTTTTTGCATCGTATACCGCATAACGTATTCTGCGTACGTAATTCGAGTCGATCGTCTGTATTTGAAATACTGCCAAATCATATACGAATCGATTTATAGTACCACGGTGAGGGAAAGAGGTAGAGAAGCAATGAAAAAATAACGGCGACGATGCGTGTACCAAAAATAAATGTCCATTTTGATCCGATACTTTTTATGGATTCTCTGTGTCGCAAAGAAGCCTATGCGTATCGTAAGTATAGGATGCACGCATACGTGAAGTGTCACGACACAGACAGACGTTCAATGATAAATCGACAGACAAACGTAAAATGATAAATCGGCGTAATCACAGAGGAAGTCTATCGGAACGAGGAGATCCGCATCTAATTTTAACTCTTTTACAAGCGTAAAACCCACCGTCGATCAAATAAGTTTTACGTCATGTTTTCATAGCTATACATACATAATTAAACACCTGTTTAACAGAGGTGTAAATACACGTTCATCTCCTGCCTCGGATATTGCTGTCTCATAGAACATTCCTAGAGTAAGTGACGACGAAATGTCAATTACGTGTTTTCGCCGGTCATCGAAAACGAGAGTGGTTAGGAGAGAAAGCAACGTCCTGATGGGTCGTGATTAAAAAAAGAAAGATAATCGAAAGGTGACGGAGTGGCCGGTTGGAGCAAACAAGGCGTGGATGAAATTGCAGGCGCAACGAATCGTTTCATAGGATTAGCACTCACACTCTGTAGAAACGGTAGAATACCGTCGATGGGAGACTTCGTTTGGTCCTCCTCCATCGTTGGTGCCCTGTGACGAAACTACCCGGCGGCGAGAGAGGACTGCACCGCGAAAGAGATTCGGGCCGCAGTTTAGCACTGCAACCTCCCTTACTTCGAACTTCCCAGGCGAAAGTAACGTGCGACACTCACCCGCTGGTGAACCGCGTATAATCCGTATAGCGGATCGTGAATCATTCACGGCGGCGCACACAGGGAAAACAAATATCACAGAAGCAGGAGAACCTGGTGTCTTCTTTTGCACTGCTATCCGTCTTTTTCGCGTGCACACGCGCGCGCGCGCGTTTTTTTACTCTAAACAGGGTCACACGCATGTTTGTCGACTCGAAGACAGAGGATCTATCGTGCCGGGAGGTGGTGACACCTGGTGTTTCGTTCGAGAAGTAAAAAGAGCGAAAACGAAATCGATTGTCAACGAGATATCGAAGCGCTTCAATTCAAAATTGCCCGCGCGATGAAATATCAAGACCGAGGAGAGATTACTAGTCTGCAATTTTTTACACCCTCTAGAATATATGTATCGTTACCTAAGTAAGAAATAGGAAGCAAACCTATCCTACTTTGTGTCCTTTAAATGTTTTGTCGAAGAATAATCAAGAAAAATGTTCATTGCAAATATTCCGACGAAAGTTGTAGTTGTCAGATACAAAAAAAATCCTATGCAATTTCCTTTTAATTCCACTCGTATCTCAGTAAAAAGCTATAATGTCTAAAGAATGGCCAAGTATTAAGTCATAGTAGTAACAGTTAACGATCCAAGTGTGTTTCTCAAGCACCTCCCAAGCTACTCAATTATAATTAATATAAATATTGCTCTTTTTATTATTATTTTATTTTTATTATTATATTAAATTATAATTAATATAAAATAATATAAATATAATTGTAGTATTTAAAATTTGATACTTGAAAACTTGCAAGTCGAAGTATGATGAGAATAATTTGGAGTTGCCGGTCGATATTCACAATTAAAAGTTGGAGCGTTAAGGGTTAAGATATAAGATTAAAATGCTGTGACAATTCCTATTCGTTTTTTCCTTAAACAATCTATCTAAGATAAAGCTAAATTTATAACGCGATTAGAGTTAATCTGAATCAAAGGTCAGTTCATTGTTAGTAATTTATAAAAGTCTGCATTTTCAAGAAGAAATAAACAATAATAATGCATTAACTATTCATTTTCATCGCGACGAGATGTGTTCCATTCAATGACTGTCATATTTCTCGATAATGATTGAAGTAACGTCGAAATTATTAATGTAACATCGGATAGAAGTTTGCAAAGTGTCGATTTTCATTATCTAATCGCGATCGCTGCGCGTGAATGTATGAATAGAATATAATAATAATATCTTGTTTTCGATGGACGATTGCAACATGAAAATCTTTGCCCGAGTTAGTCACTTCGGCGACCTTGGATCGCGATTCCCCCGCGTAGGTGTTTTCACGAACTCGCAGCATGAGCATAACGGTGCGGTTATTATCGAGTGCACTGCGAAGTCACTTTTTGAGTCAGAGGAATTATTATACATTCTGGACTTTAATCGCGCTACTATCTCAACGAGAGTGTGTTACTGAGCTACGCGATGCGAACGGATCGAGGAAGCGAATATTTCAACCAAATTGAATGACGATGTGAAATTTTTCAATCCGCTGTCGAGTAATTTGATAATTTTTTCTTTACTCTCGACATGTTTCGCAAATGTTAACGAAATCGGTGATAAGACTGTATCTTGACTTTAAAGCATACGAAGATTTAGCACCCATGTTAAACCCTGACTGAATAAGAAATTAATTATCGTACAATAAAAAATACAGTTTTTAATTATTTTTTAAATGACAAATTAAATAATTGGTTTTTGACAGAGGAGTCACGAGGAATATGATGAAAAAAATGAAATCTAACAACGTCATCAAATTTTTTAAATTATATTAAATCGCTGACAATTTTCGTATATAGATATCAAACGGATTCGTGATGTTAATCAATTTCTCTTTAAAAAGAATTTGTCTGTACGTGCGAGAGGAATCTTTGCTTTCTTTGCTTTGAAACAAAGAACAAAGAATTGCGCGTATGAAGCGAGAGCGAAAATAACATTGCTCACTACGTGCTCGCCGTATCTTGTATTTTAATAAACAAAACTGAAACAGCAAAACGATTTCTCTAGACATTAAGCAGGGATACATTACTGGCATACGTATTCAATAACTCACTCGCATAGCTACATTTCTAAAGTTCACTGCATTTTTCTATAATTATTATTAAATAACGTGATAAATGTCGTGTTTTATTATGTATTAAATGTATGTTATAAAATAACGATCAATTTCGTATCTTATGCGTTTGTGTTCTATGTATTTATGACACTGTCGTATCATATAATAAAACATGCATGTATTAAGCGATACCATAAATCTTGTGTTTTGTTATTTCACAGCAGCCAACTAAAAATAGATTTGCATAAAAGAGAATATGCAGGTTGATTTTATTTCCCTTGTTATTGTCTTAAAGTAGTCAGGAAATGGTAATGTATGTTACATTTTACATGACTGGAATTGCATCTTTTTTTATTCTTGTTCATGAAAAAGGGGAAAAAGAAAAGAACAATGATATATTACCCAGCGCTAAAATCCATTACACGTGGAATATAGATCACTTTCATCGTCAGTGAATACATAATAATTTACAGAAAAACGAGTTTAAAAGTGAACATAGTAAACCTTTGAACAACCCTTAGATATTTTATAGGATTCTAATCACAGAAAAATTACGATAGGTGTAGATTAAAAAATGGAAAAATGTTTCTGATCTTCTTACCTTCCGGATTCAAAACATCGAAGGATTGGGGACCACAGTAGCCACAGGGAGGAACGATCGACGTCGTTATCGACACCTTATCAAATCGATGAGTCGTCGTCGCTCGCGTGTGGTTCTTCCGGATGACAGTTTTATCAGCGCGAGGCGCGGCTGACGCGTGTCTCATCTTTCGGTCCGTACGGCACGGAACGAAATCGGCTTTGCGGAGCAGTCACGGAATCGAACTGCGTCCGCGGTTGGACTTTGAGCGGTCAAAGATTGACGAAGAGATGGTGGACAAGAGGAGGGCTCCTTCTACCCGTGCGAGATATGTCGCGGGTCACAGATATATTGTGCTCGTCCTGGTGCGAGGATCGTTTCATCGGTAGTACGCGTCGCTTAAACGATCGTCGCAAGTTTTCCGTGGAGTAATATTACAACAGAACGATGGCTTTCGAATTACAACTTCAGCCACCAGGGCCGGCCGTTTTGGCCATTGCTAAGAAGGAGTTAAGGGAAACCGAAGAGAATGTGAAGACCGGCCTCGCTAAATTGAAGGAGCTGCTCGCTGGTGAGTCGTTATAAGGTGGACACAGGCTAGAGCGTTTACTAACGTAATGAACGAATGCTATTGTATTACGAGAACTGATCGGTTCGCGGGATTTCTATCGATATTCTGTTAAGCAAATGTTCTATTTAGTCTATGTCTACCTTAAAAGAGTGAGCTTTCGTGAACTTTGCTATGTAATCTTATTTACCATGTGGAGAGTTCAGGCCGGTATCATTAGAGATAACTTCGTCTCGGTTTAACGCCTGTTCATGAATGAAAATTGTTCGTTTCTGCTCCAATTTTCGAAAGAACAATCATGTATTTAATTGTACGGTTCGTGTCTCACGTAAAAATTGTATATTTATTTCAATACACACACATATTAGATATGTACATCAAGGATCTTGGATCGATTGGAAAAATGTGCACGAGGAAATGATCAATTTGATGGTTTTGCTAATTTTGTTATTGTTAAAGTGGTCGAAGTTAAACGATCATATAGACAAAAGTTGTTCTCTGACATTGGAAATATATTATAAATTGATGTAACATAATACAAGTGAAAATCCTGCTTTTCTTATTTAATCCACTTTCACAATAACCAGCAGAAATGCTCTAATTAAAAGAGAAGATAATTCCTTGATGTTTCACATGTTTTGGAAAACTAAAGCGAACTCATTTTAACAATAGAGTGTATCATTTATATCAATAGGATGTTTGTCAATCGATGATAAATCTATATCTGTGTTTTATCAAATCGATTCTACGTACGTCGACGTCGCTCGAGACAGTTTTAAAAACATTTGACATTTTTTCGCTGAATATTTTTACTATTCGAAAATCAGTCAGAATCATGCTGCGTCTCGTTACTCGTATCTCTGTTCCTCGCAGTTACTCACGCTGTCGATAATTTATATCGCTTTCAAAGCGTTCCGCAACGATTCCGAGTCAGAGAAAAGACATCGTTCACGTGATCCTCAAAATTCACGTTTCGAATTTTCGACGTTTCGACGTCGCCTATTCAGCCTGAATCGCTCGTGACACCGCATTTCCATAACAATATGCACGCTACAGGCGTGTACCACCGGATTTTCTCGGTTCGTAAATACTTTTCTTAACCGTGGAAATAAAAATGTTACGTGACTCCAATTGAAATTTAATTACCGTCGCGACGCCGGGAAAAAAAGACTGTGTTTTACGACCGACTCCATTCATGAAACTGCAATTACGCCACATCAAATTAGTTGAGCAAATAGTGCGAAAGAACTGTGATTTAATTTGTATTATCTTTATTATAAAATCTTCTGTTTACAGAGGATGATTATATTATAATAATGGAGGTAGTTAGAAAGAGGAATTGATAGTGAACGTAGGAAGACTACAAGATCAGTGCAATGACATCTCGTTCCCGTTTAACTGAAAATAAAGAACAAAAGCTCTTGAGGTCACTAGCTTTCTTGATACGACTTTATCTAACCGCGTTTTCTTGTTCGTCTCTCTTGTAACGTTAACAATCGGGGGCGTAAACAATTTGCGAGCACGCCGTTGTAAATGATCGAGATCCGCTGATAAGGCGATTGATTTAAAATCCGTTGATACCGCGACGGACCTTGACCCTTCACAGAGAATCGAGATAAAGTATCTGCACTGGCGTAGGAGGCTTTCCAATAAAGGAAATAACGCCTTTAAGAAGGTGTTAAAACTGGATTTATGCACCTTTTTGGTCGATTATGATATTCGATAATGATTATATTATGCCACGAAGTTAGCAAA